TCCCGCCCAAATTTTCAGCTATGTAAAAAAAATTACAAATATTCAAAGTAAAAGCAATGAAATATTAACCTCACTTCTATTTTTTTCAATATAATTCCAAAAATTTGTGTCATTGACTTAAATATTATTTATCATTTATATACAAACATGAATTGAGTTGCAAACTCAGATATGAGTTAAGGCACCATTTGATACTTTTTTTTTTTTTTTTTTTTTTTGATCTGCCACATTTGGATGTTTAGAAGAGGTGGAAAAAACTCTGCATGTTACGCAAATCAACAATTCAGTACAATGATATAGTTTTATCTTTAGGACCAAACAAATTTTACTACCAAATAAACAGACAAATTCACAACAACAATTAGGACTATCGGGCAAATCAGAAAACAGTTAACATCAATGAACACTTGAATCAGTAAATCCATAAACTAAAACCACCAAGAGGGACAAACTATGATAGAAAGTATAATTCAAAAAACACACCAGGAATAGAATATTTTACCCTTTTTTTTCCCTCAAATCAGATTAAAAAACTAGTTCAAAAGGCCAAATTATAAACAATAAATTCTCTATCAATTAGAATATTCATTGATCCAAATGCAACTTCTTCTCAAAAATCTTAGAATTCATGACCCAAAGTACCACCCATTTCAGAAAACTAGAATCAACCTAACACAAATAGAAGCTTAATCAATCCAATGGAAGCAACAGCTCAAGAAACTCACTTTGATGAACGAAATAATTATTTTAGAACGTAATTGATGACACGAAGCACTCAGCTATTACATGCCCGAAAGTTTCATATAGCTCCATTTTATTATGTCTTAATGTGCGGAATCTAGCCATCGAAGTCCAAAAAAGCACTCAGTCTATAGCATGACCAAGAAGTTTCAGCACTTCTATTAAGCCCTTATCCATATAATAGTGGGTTAAAGAAGTTCAACACTTAACAAACACCAGAGAAAATTGATGGAAATTTGAACCAAAGTGGCAACAAAATGGCAGCATAGCAGATAGTGAAAGAGTTCCTCAACAGCACTAATTTGTAATGTTATCTATAATTAACAGGGAAAATAAAAGAATGAGAGATGACCTGTCAAGTAATACTCTGAGAACTTGGTCATTAGATCATCCAGCCATCTGCTAACAGCGTTTCATATTTATGCTCAAGAATTAAGGAAACTTCACACAATTCATAAAACACTTGGCCTTCAAAAATCTGAGGTGGAAAAAAAGTTAATGGCACTTATTAAATGAAGTTGAGTACAAGAAATAAAACTCAGATCATGACCTAGGACCAAGGACCAAGGATCCTTGGTCCTAGATTTATAATTGTGTAATGCAATTATATCTCCTAGATGTGGTGCTTAAGGGATTCTAAGTTGGCTCTTGAAGATTTTTTTTCTTTTTCATCTTGTCTGATTTTCTGCACTTTTAATCCTCTACCTCATAACCAGATTCCGATCACATCCTTTTATAATGAGTGCAACAGCAAGTCGAAGAGAACCAGTTCCTGAAAGACCTTGAAGTAGACACCTGCGAATTTTTTTTGTTTAAAAATGATTAGTTAGAAAAGGCCCTTGACTGGTGTCAGAGAAATTTTAAAATCACGCATACCCTTTGCTGTTCAATTATGGGTTATCTGGGTCATAGGCACTATGGATCATATCAATGCTAATGTCCAGCAAACACAAATGTCAAGTGACATAGAAAAATTGAAATTTTCCTTTTGTTTTCTTGCATTTCTTCTTCTACATGAAGACTGTTGTTTTTTTCCTTATAGATATCCATAGAAACAATGAGTAATAGAGTCGATGTGATCCAATCAATACTCTGAAATATAACAAGCATTCCCTATAATTACCATTTGTGATCTCCATTCTTTTTTTTCTTTCTCACTTAAAAAAAAAAAAAAAGTGTTCAATGATCATAAATTTTACTATTACTATAGCTAAACATTTTTTATTAGTTTCAGCCAATTTACTTTGTTTGAAACAATCCACATTATGATATATAATAAGACTATATAACACACACAATTACCTCTCTAGAACTTGTTAATCCTGAATCGCTTGCATTACAATTTTAGAGTACAAGGGATGATATATGTAAATGGCATGGAGTACCTGATAGCAGCAGCAGTTCTCTTGAGTGCTAGAAGAAGTTCTCCATCAATTTTTGCTTTCATGGCTTTTCCGTCATCAAGCATTGATTTGTATTTTTCCCACGTCTTTTTGCCCTTTCTGTAACTAGCCACTATTTGCAAACGATGCACAACAAGTATGATAACTAATTCCAGAATAAAGAACAGATTACTAGAGAAATTTAAAACACATATTCAAGAAAAATATGATATAAGGGAAATGAAAATTTAGACAGATACGAAAAAACTAGGAGTAGTTTATCTCATCAGCCTTCGGTATACTTGCCAAGAAAGGAATACTTGGATTTTGCCCACATACGTGCACCTTCACCACACAAGAGCTAGGAACAAAAAATGCTCATAAGAAAAACAAAAATCTGAGGGAGAACAACGAATGGCATGCCTAGTGTAGATGCACTAACTCCTCACCAAGGATACCAACTTGTAGCCAAAAAGAGAGTTAGTGCATCTCACTAGGGCATGCCATTCGTTGTTCTCCCTCAAATTTTTGTTTCTTATGAGGCATTTTTTGTGATTTTCTAGCTTCTTGTTGTGAATGTCACGTAGGGGGCAAAATCCAATGGTATTCCTTTCTTGGCAGGTATACCTGAAGGCTGATGAGATAAACTTCCTAGTTTTTTGTCGTATCTGTCTAATATTTTTCATTTCCTATATATTCAATATTTTTTCTTGAATATGTTGGTTTTAAATTTCTCTAGTAATCTGTTCTTTCTATTCTGGAATAAGTTATCATACTTTGTTGTGCATCGTTTGCAAATAGTGGCTAGTTACAGAAAGGGCAAAAGACAGTAGAAAATACCAATCAATGCTTGATGACGGAAAGCGCATGAAAGCAAAAATTGATGGAGAACTATTCTTCTAGCACTCAAAGAGAAATGCTGCTAGTTCAGGTACTCCATGCCATTTACATATATCATCCCTTTGTACTAAAATTGTTAGATGCAAGCGATTCATGGGATTAAACAAGTTATAGAGAGAGTAATGTGTGTGTTATATAGTCTTTATATTCATAATGTGGATGTTCAAACAAAGTAAATTGGCTGAAACTAATAAAATTAAATGTTTAGCTATAGGTCAAAATTTATGGATACTTGAACATTTTTTTTTTTTTTTTAGTGAGAGAGAAAAAAAATGAATGGAGGATACAAAATGGTAATTATAGGGAATGCTTGTTATATTTCAGAGTATTGATTGAGATCACATCAGACTCTATTACTTCATTGTTCTATGGATATCTTATAGAGGAAAAAAACAACAGTCTTCATGTAGAGAGAAATTGCAAGAAAACAAAAAAGGAATTCAATTTATTCTATGTCACTTGACATTGGTGTTTTGCTGGACATTAGCATTTAGTATGATCCATAGTGCCTATGACCGATAACCCAGTAATTGAACAGAAAGGGTATGCGTGATTTTAAATTTCTCTGACCCAGTCAGGGGCCTTTTTTAATCTACTTTTTAAACAAAAATTCTAGTGTTGCTACTGTTCAAGGTCTTTCAAACTGGAGACTTGCCTGTTGCACTCATTAAAAGGATGGTGATCGGAATCTGGTTAGGAGGTTGAGGATTAAAGATTGCAGAAAATCAAGACAAGATGAAAAGAAAAAATCTCAAGAGCCAACTTTAGAATCCTTAAGCACAACATCTAGGGATATAATTGCATTACACCAATTATAATATCTAGGACCAAGGATCCTTGGTCTTGGTCTAGGTCATGATCTGAAGTTTTATTCTTGTACTCAACTTCATTTAACTTAAGGTGCCATTTAAACTTTTTTTTTCCACCTCAGAATTTTTGAAGGCCAAGTGTTTGATGATTTGTGAAGTTTCCTTAATTTCTTGAGCATAAATATGAACAGCTGTAGCAGATGTGCTGTGATCTAATGACCAAGTTTTCTCAGGAGTATTTACTTGTACAGGTTCTTCTCTCATTCTTTTATTTTCCTGTTAATTATAGATAACATTACAAATTAGTGCTGTTGTGAGGACTTTTCACGATACTCGCGTATGCTGCCATTATGTTGCCACTTTGGTACAAATTTCCATCTAATTTACTTCTGTGTGTTGGTTAAGTGGTTTGAACATTATCTACTACCCAATATTCATTGGATAAGGGCTTAATAGAGTTGCTGAAACTTCTGGGGTCATGCTATAGACTGAGGTGCTTTTTTGACTTCGATGGCTAGATTCCCACATTAAGCATAATTAAAATGGAGGCTTAATGAACTTCTTGGTGCATGCTATAGGCTGAGTGCTTCGTTCATCAATTACGTTCTAAATAATTAGTTTTGTCATCAAGTGTGATTCTTGAGAGCTGTTTGCTTCAATTGGATTGGATTAACTTCTATTTGTGAGGTATTCTAGTTTTCTGAATGGTGGTACTTTGGTCAATGAATTCTAAGGATTTTTGAGAAGAAGTTGCATTTGATCAATGAATATTTCTAATTGATAGGAGAATTATTGTCTTTTTATAATTTGGCCTCATTTGAACTAGTTTTTTTAATCTGATTTGAGGGAAAAAAAGGGTAATATTTCTATTCCTGGTGGTTTTTGATTTATACTTTCTATCATAGTTTGTCCCTCTTGGTGGTTTTAGGTTTATGGATTTTACTGATTCAAGTGTTCATTGTGTAACTGTTTTTCTGATTTGCCCGATAGTTCCTAATTGTTTGTTGTGATTTGTCTGTTTATTTTGGTAGTAAAATTTGTTTTGGTCCTAAAGATAAACTATATCATTTGTACTGAATTTGTTGATTTGCGTAGACATGCATGAGTTTTTTCCCTTCTTAAACATCCAAATGTGTGGCAGATGAACCAAAAAAAAAAAAAAAAAAAAAAAGTATTCAAATGGTGCCTTAACTCATATCTGAGTTTGGCAACTCAATTCATGTTTGTATATAAATGATAAATAATATTTGAAGTCAATGACACAATATTTTTTGGAATTAATTGAAAAATAGCAGTGAGGTTATATCTTCATTGCTTTTACTTTGAATATTTTGTAATTTTTTTTTACATAGCTGAAAATTTGCTTCTATAAATTTCTAACATTTGTTATGATATGGGCATTTTGCAGGATTCTCAGGACCCAAATCTACTGATTTGATCTTTGGCTGTACGGACAATGGGATGCATTCGTGCTGACAAAATCACAGAATATCTGTGTGATCCACTTCAGAGGTGTCTCAAGGTTGATATTTACCCTTGTTTCCAAAAGTTTGGATCAGTATCTCAAACACGAGGAGTCTGCTGAGTTGTCTGCGATTTCAACTTGATTCAATGGGTATATTAGTTGTTGTTTTGATATCATTTTCTCATTTCAATAATCAAGTCTTTTTGCTTTATTTTTTTTTCCCACCTAGTAGGATTTGTAATTGAGAATCGGATAAGTGATAATGTGTTATGGCTATGAGAAAGTTTTTATATTAAAACACTTAATTTGAGGCAGTTCAATGGTGGTTATTTCTTGTTACCATTCTTATCTTTTTCTTTTTTCAGTTTGTTGTTTCATTGAGAATATACGAGTACTTTTTATCAATGCACTAGAATCTTATAGCATTGTCATGTTGGGCAGTCACTACAGAGGCATAACAGCTCCAATGTGGGGCTAATTTGAGTTTGGTGCATTTCTTAATTTAGCTAATTTTACTATCTATCCCATGATTTTTGACGTGTACAAGCCCATAAAGGCCATGAATCACTATGAACAACCCAAGCCCATCACTTGGAGCACAATACATAACCCAGCTGGTGAGGTCCAGGACAGCTGGAATCCAACATGGCATAAAGAGCCAATGACATTCAGACACATGGCAGGTGAAGGATGAGCCACATCAGCAGACAAAGATCTGCAAAGTTATTGCCACTGCATATCACCATTAATGCAGCCCATCACAGCATTTATTACGACAACACCTCTCCGTCGGAACAGGACCCCCTTACCCTGAACAAGGTAAGTTACAGCATAGACTTTCGGCGAGGAGGTTAGGTCAGAAGGGACAACGAAATGATTACCAAAGGATATAAGCAAATGTTGAAGACAAGAAGAATGTTAAGCTTTTCTATCTCTAACCTCTCCCTCTACACTCTACTTCTCTTCTTAACTTGCTCGTTGGAGGGTTCACTGGGGGACTACCCCGTTCCCCGTTGAACTTGTTTGCAGGTTATCCGGTGGGCTTGATCATTTGGACCTGGGCTTGAGAAGCTTGGTCCAGTCCGATCCATTCACTAGGACAAACTGTATCATCAATTTTAGTGCACGGAAAAGGTACATTTGTCTTTAAATAGATCAAATATAGTGGAATGGCAAGTGAAGTGCAAATTTTGGTTTGGGAAAATACTTTTTGCATATATGGTTATTTTAGACAATATTATGCGTTGATTCTTTTGCTTACTGGTTGTTTATTTAATCTGAAACTGCCATCTCAATTTAATAAGTTTGAAATTGATTCTTTTTGTAAGATTACTATATGAGTCAAGATCCTTTAGAGTATTTTTTTTTTCTTAGTGTGATTGTAGAGTAATGTTTTAAAAATTGGACGAGTGAGCAAACTAGAAAAGAGATTGGGTGAACGAGTCACCAGTTCAACTCGACAGTTGAACCGAAATCCAACCATGACGTCATAAATATATTAAAATTTATATTTAAATAAAAATTTAAGTAATAAAATTATAAATTAAAAATTTTAATAATCTTAAATATTTCTCTTAATACCTTTTTTTACTAAAAAATATAAAAATATATTTTAAAATATTAATAATTTTAATTTTGGAAGAAGAAATCAAATATTTAATATTCCCTCCATATGATTTTAATTCAAATAATTTGATTAAAAGAAGAGTAAAAATTTTGGAGGGATATTAAAATTTTAAGTTTTCTTCCAATAAATTTGATTGAATCCCACATAAATTTCTTGAGTTTTTTTGGAAGAATTTTTTTTCTTATAAATAGGTAGAGGCTTTCACAATAATTTCAAGCTCTCAATGTGATTCCTCACAAGAGGAGACCTTTGAAAGAGAGTTTTCAATTAAAATTTTCTTATATAATATATATATATATATATATATATAAAATAAGAAAGAAAGAAAGAATAAAAACAAAAATTTGATTTTTATTGACCCAGTGAACTGTCACCGGGTCGACCTGTTTGGCGGTTCAACCGCCGGTTTTTTCGATTCTCTCAAAATAGACCTATTTTTCACTTTGAATGGTTTAGTAGGTGTATCCGGACCGGAATTCCAACCAGTCAACGGTTCAACCGGTCGAACCAGCCGGTCCGGTCCGGTCCGATTTTTAAAACCTTGTGTAAACCCATCATAAGTGGTGAACTTATGTTGACCTTGATTGTAGTTCAAAATTATGTTGTTTTGTATTTGGGAACTTAGTTTTTGGATTTTTTTTTTTGTTTTTTTCACTACAAGACAAATGTTTTACAAAACCAAAAAAAACAAATCCAAACAAAAGATCACATCAAACCCCATAATCATTTCACCTTTTCTCTCACAAACATCACATCCAACCACAAAAAAATTAATCTAACTATCTTTCCAAACACAAAATTTTTTTTCTTCAATAATATCCTACAACTAAAAAAACATACAAAAAAACCCACTTCTCAAACACCCACTTTATGTCAAGCTAGTTACTACATATAAAAGATCAATTTTTTGGGTCATGTGTAATGGATTTTCTTCATTGTTTTTGTTTTCTCTTGTATTGAAGTTGTTGGCAGTTGCTGTCTTGTTGGGGTATAGCCTTGTCTTTACTATGTATGCAACTAGTGTTATATATATATATATTGTTCTAGGTTGCTTCTACTGTTGTATTTATCCTTGTTTCTTATCATTCTTGTTTGTGTCCAGTGTATGCTGTGTTATTTGTATCTTTTCTATACATCACAGTTCAATTTGTTGATGCCCCTTGCTTTGTTATCCATTTTTATTTGTTCATTCTATGACAATGGGAAAATTGATTATTGCTAGTGCTGTCAAGGGCAAAATCTCTCCCTACTTACTATGCATACATGATGATACTACTAGTTTTTGGGTAACGGGTCGGGCTGATCTTGGCCTCCTACACGGTTGTCCGATCGCTGGCCCACCGAGAAACCTGGATAAGAGTTCAACGAGGAATAGGAGTCCCCCAGCGAACCCTCCGACGAACAAGTTAGAGAGGAGAGAAAGATGAAAGTGTCGAGATAGGATTGTGATTGAGTGCCTAACCTTTTTCTTGGAAACCTCTTTATATTCTTTTTTTTCTCTTCCTTCCGTCATCTTGGCCAAAAGTATACTCCAGCTTGCATCATTCATGGTCAGGCCATTTTCTGTCCCATCGTGAGGGGGTTGTTGCATTGAATGCTGTAGGGAACCTCATTAATGACCGGCGTGTGGTGCAATAACTTTACAAGATCTTTGTCTGCTTATGTGGCTGATTCCCCTCCTTACAAGTGTTTAGATGCCATTGGTTTTTGGTGCTATGTTGGGTTTCAATAATGTTGGACCTTAATGTTTGGATCGTGTATTGGGCTCTAAGTGGGGGTCTAATAACCTTTATGGGTCCACCTATGTTAGTAGTCCCCCATTCCCACGTGCAGCTTTAGTCCAACGAAGGGAATAAGAAAGAAGACGGAGAGTGTTGGTGACTGAGTGGGAGAAGACCGACTGAGAGGAGGGATGACCGTGAAGGGTGACCGAGTGAGAAGGTCGACTGAGAAGAGGGCCGACTGCACAGGGTAACCAAGCAAGGCGACCGACGGAGGGATGGTCGACCGCAAAGGGGGGCCTACTGAGGCGACCAACTGAGAGGATGGCCGACCGCGAGGGGTGGCTGACTGAGAAGGCCGATTGAGGGGATGGCCGATCGTGAAAGGTGGCCGAGTGAGAAGGGGAAATGGCGGTGCACGAGGCTCGAGGAGTGGCGAGGCACGTGGTGATGTGAAGTGGAAAAGACAGGGTAGGGGAAAGGGGGTAGTGGATCGTGGTCGTACACGTGGCAGAATCTCATGATAGGGGAGATAAGGCATTGAATAAGAAACGGAGGGCTAGGTTTAATATACGGTGTCGAAAAGGCGATTGTGGAAAAGTTTTTGAAAATTTTCAAACTAGCGAAATTTAAACTTGACCCTTGGAATACAGGCAAACCGTGGGCGTTTGGGGTTATTCGCTTTACTTACCTTTTTGTAAAAACCAACATGTCCTAGAAGTAAACTCATTTGTTTCGAGTGATACACCTCTGCAACACTTTGCGAACTACTTTGCACCAGCGTCTAAGGCTATACGCAGACACATAGGAGAGATGGCTCAAGATGATGTGCCAACCACGACACTAGATTCTTTGGGGGATGACGATGCGATGGAGTTGGCGGAGCAATACAGGGGGGAGAAGAGGGTAGGAAGTAAGGGGGAGCCTGCGGGGCGACCCCGCTCGTCCACGCTAATAGCGGCTGTGAAGCCAATTAGTCAAGTACAACCGGCCCACTGGCATACGAAGGCGGACAAATCGACGTTTACAGCGGAGGAGTTGGAGGAGGTGCGTGAGAAGTATCAGGTTCCCGTGGAGATAGAGATAAAATTGCTGATGTCGAAGGAGAGGCCATCCGACGCCCGACCGATGGAGTTTGCCCTCTATGAAGAGGTGTTAAAAGGGGGGTTGAGGTTGCCGCTCCCACAGATAGTAGTAGATGTGCTGAACTGCCTGGAGGTGGCGCCGGGTCAGCTGATGCCCAATGCGTGGAAAATATTATTGGCCTGCGCGAGTGCATGGCCACTGGAGAATGAGGGAGCTGCGATGACAGTGGATGAGTTTTTTGCATGCTACAAGGCGTTAGGCCAACAAGAAACTTGAGTAACTTTACAGGCGGCGGCGGGTAAGGGTTTGGTGGCGGGGTTGCCATCGTCAGTGAAGGGGTGGAGACCACGGTGGTTTTACGTGTCAGCAAATGGGGGAATGAGAGTGCGCACAGTGTGGAAGGTTCTTACCAAGTCAGTGGAGCCACGGTTGGGGGCAGAGGCGGAGGAGATGGTGAAAATGGTGAAGGCGTGGAGGGAGAAGGAGGGCACCAAGTGAGACGACCTTGTTTAGCCCTCAGCCTTGTTTGCCTCGAGGCTCGGACCACAGCCGACCGGTGGGGACCTTGGCCGGCCGAATTAGAGGCGAGAAGGAGGATGCAAGAGGCGGAGGATAGAACGATCTTCACCAAGGCTGATAAGTACAAAGAGTCACAATTAGGCCGTCCGCCTAAATCGGTCGTGAGGGAACGAATCCGACCGCGCCCCAAGCCGCTGGAGGATAAAGACTTGGGAGGTTTTGAGCCACTACCGCTCCCAGTGGATCCATTGAAGGAGAAAAGCAAAAAAGAGGTGGAGGCGATGTTAAAGAAGAAGAAGAAGAAGAGAGCAGAGAAAGGGAATGAGGGGCCAGCGTTGAGAAGGATGAATGAGGGAATGACAGAGGGAACCCTAGAGGTGGAGTTAGTGAAAACAATGAAGGGGGTGGAGAGTGCCATGGGCTCTGGTGCACAAGTGGAAAGTGGTGCGATTGGGTCCGAGT